CTCTTCTACTCCAATAGCTTCATGTCTCGCACCTCTCGCCTGTGGAACTCCCTTCCCTATTCCAGTTTCCCTGTGAGCTATAATCTCCAGCTATTCAAGTGTAATGTCAATCGACATCCCCAGTTGCCTTGATCTATCCACTACCCTCATCCTTTCTTCTATCACTCCTATCTGATCTTGCTCTAAACTTTCTGTAACCCCTTGGGTCCTAGTGGTTTCCCGCCTTGCTTAAGTTTAAAAAAAAAAAAAAAGCCGCTACGAAAGATTCTTTAAATTAGATATATTGCTTTGTTCTTATGGACAAAAGTTGATTCTTCCGTGTTCTATAAGTTTAATATATATATATATATATATATATATATATATAGGTATTTACTTGACTCCCACAAGGTCAAGATGTGACACAAGGTCGATTAACGTGGGAACCCGAGTGTTTCCACTCAAAGGCCAATGGTCAAAATTGGTCATAGCATATTCAAGCTGGTCAGAGCTTAGTCAAAGCTGGTCATGACTTGTCCTAGCAAGTCCAGGCCGGAGCCAGTCCAAGCTAGTCGAAGCCTTGATCGAATCTCAGCCATAGGCCAGAAACGATCAATATTTGTCAAAACCCCCAGCCGGGTAATATATATATATATATATATATATATGTGGGGGAAAGGGGGGGGTAAAGACAGAGAGAGAGCGTAATGGCGTGCGCGTTCATTAAATTCTTACCGGGGATTCGTTTTCCTCCCTCACCACCCAACACCATTTCTGTCACCAAAGGGTTTCCATTTTTATTCCTTTCCAAACCCCTAAATCATTATTTCTCACACCACGTCCCTTCACGGAAAAGACAAGCGTTGCCAGCGACCAAAGCCAAACCCCTATCCTCGAATGATCTCTGACCCCCAACCTACTACACGCTCCATTGCTTTCTCACAGACATCAAGCAGATTAGTCAATGGATTTTAATGTACTTCTTGCAAAAGATGGCCCACTGGGACTTGCAACAGGAGTGTGTGTATGTGCATATTTAGGAAAATACTTTGCGAGTAGATGCTCAAACATACACACACACGCGTGCACACACACACACACACACACACACATATATATATATATATATATATATATATATATATATATATATATATATATATATATATATATATATATATGTGCAGGAATGTTTTATTTTTTGAATTGGGTGTATTTAGGCAGTAGTTTTATTTTTTATTAAGACAAACAAAAGAATTTATTTATGATTTTTATTTATATTCCTATGTTTCGGACCATTTTTCAGGTTCCGAGTACCTATTTAAATAAAGATTCTGTGCGTATACATACACATATTTATGTTAGTGATATCTCCTGACGAGTAGACGGAGCGATTTCTGGAGAGTCCGTCTATGAAATTCTTGAGCCAAGCTGTTGAGAATAACACATCAATCAACTAAAGGGAAAATATATATATATATATATATATATATATATATATATATATATATATATATATATATATATATATATATATATATATATATATATATATATATATATATATATATATATATATATATATATGTATATATATATATATATATATATATATATATATATATATATGTATATATATATATATATATATATATATATATATATATATATATATATATATATATATTATTACTGTGCAGCAGATCTGATGTCGTAAATATACTAGAGTGTTAAGTTTATTATTTTATATCATAAAAAACAATTTATACAAAAGAATTAAAGAGCAATGTTAATGCAATTAACAGCGAAAATCACTTCGCTAACAGAATTTAATGAGACATTAACTTACTATCAATTCCTTAAATAATAAGATCCATATATTGGAATTGTCAGATTAATCAGATTAACATTGCTATTTAATTCTTTGTATAAATTGTTTCTTTATGATATAAAATATAATCTGCACACTGTAATATATATATATATATATATATATATATATATATATATTCTTGCTGACAACACAACTTAAACATGAAAACAATAAACAAAAATTTAAAATTCTTGAAGCTTTATACATAAAGCTTTATTCATTCTTGAAACCTAACCTGAACAAAATAAACTATGAAATCTCCACAAATATCCTTAAATGCCTATAATTTATAACAGAAGCCATTGGTTTATACCAACGGCTTCAAATAATACTTCTCGTTTTTCACTCTCGCGTGGTCATGTGTGACGTCACGAGCTGCGACGCGATTTTCGCTTCCGCGTCTTGTCTATACGAGTTTGGGGTTACTTGAAAATTTCATGCAGCAAGGGCGGACTATCATTATTGTTTCGTCGGTGTGTTGTTTGATATACTAAAATTGTCATCTTTGATAATGGCTTGTGTAAGCCGAAAGCTTAGATAGGATTTAAACATGTATCAATATGGTGTTTTCCTTTCGTCTTTCAACGATAATGGGATTAAGCTTATCAGACAATATGAAAGGAACTTACTTAAAATAAATAGACCAAACTTGTCTATATTATTAATAATATATATATTAATATATATATATATATATATATATATATATATAGAGAGAGAGAGAGAGATAGATAGATAGATAGATAGATAGATAGATAGATAGATAGATAGATTACACGGCAAAATACAAAATTACTTGAATTATACACTAACGGATTTATTACCTGTACCAAATATATATGTGTGTGTGTGTGAGAGAGAGAGAGAGAGAGAGAGAGAGAGAGATGTGGACGATGGATTAGGACGTCAGCGTTCTGATCATAAGACCCGGATTCGAATCACACTATAGTCGATTTGTCAGAGATTCACTCTGGATAATATTAGCCTCGGGAAATAATCCCTGCGGGCGCCTCCTTTAGGGAGTGCCTAAAAACCACGCCACGTTTTGCCGCAAGCTTTTTATGAAAATTGTGTAGACTAAATTGTTACGAAATTATTAGCCGAAACTTAGCGAGGGTGTGAATGCATTAGTTTTGTGATCATTTTAAATTATTGATCACTCTATCAGAAAATGTAAGATCTACTTATTATAATTGCAGTTAGTTGGCTTTGTGAGTATTGAAGAAACCCAGCGATACCTGAGCAGTTATCCGCAACAGGTATGAGCTCGCCATTCTACATTTATATGTGACAAGGGGTGGGAAAAAATGTTCCCTGGTGAGTGTCGTTCGGAGATCATATGACATATCTGTGTCATCTGCATGAATTAAAAGCATTAGTTCCATTTCATCTTCATCCCTTGTCCAATTGAAGTAGAATATTATGTCACCATGGAAACGTGATTTTAGCTGTGTCTTTAAAACCCAGTAATTTTTAAAGTTACTCCAAAATTCGTTTGAAGATGAAATGGAACTAATGCTTTTAATTTAATTTGCAAAATTAAATTCAGGGCTTTTAGCTTCTATTTTTTTGAAACATGGTTAGAACTGTGTAGCGGAAAAACCATATTTTAAATCAATTAATATATATATATATATATATATATATATATATATATATATATATATATATAAGAAATATACTCTTAAGGTGTGCTATATTTATGGGATAAAGTGCTCAATATCAGAGATAGAGCGTATGTAAATATAAAAGTGAACATTGAAGTCAACACTTAGAGACGACAGGCTGACGATTGCGTCTAGCATGAAACAGCCTGTCACCTCTAAGTGTTGACTTCAATGTTCACTTTTATATATATATATATCTACACTAGCAGCATGGCCCGGCGTTATCGTGCTTGATTCAAAAATCGTACGACTCATACAGCAATCGCTATCACTTGACTTAAAATGTTTTTGCCCTTCCTTGCCTTTAAAGGAGTGCCCTTTGCCGTGCTGATGTTGCTACATGCCTTACTTCTTGCCTATCTCACACTGCGAATTTTTTCTAAGCTCTATACTAAACATTAAATCTGTTACAAAAAAGAACTAAACAAAATGAACACAAAACGATCAGCTTTAAAAAAGGACTCGTAACTGGAAAAACCGAATGAAAAAAGAATGTTAACAACAAATACTTTTTCACATCCAACCCAGTTCTGCGGTATCAGAATCAACGTTGAGTTTAAGCAAGCCAATGAGCCAATTGGAGTAAAGTGCCATACAGATTTAAATTTTTCCCACTCGTGACGAATGCAGCTATCGATTTTTTTTTTTTTTTGCATGCTAGCATGCTAGTTAAGATTCGTGTCAGTCAGCTGTTGGCTCTCACGTTGACCAATAGAATCTTCCTGCCTATTCGTGGCAGCCAGCTATAGGCTCTCACTCTGGCCAGTACAAAATGGCCACAAACTACATGAAAACTGCCATAGAAGCATGAAAAATCGATTATTTCCACTATCGATGGGAGTTGGGAAATGCAAAGTCGGTGTTGACCTTTCCCGCTAACTTGGAGCATGTGCATGTAAATTTTGGTGCAAATCCGTCAAAATTGCGGCCGTGCATTCGTTACACACACACACACACACACACACACACACACACACACACACACATCCTGCCTTTTATACATAGAGATACGCTTTACCCCTGACATTGAGTACTTTAACGGATAAATATAGCATACCTTAAAACTATATTTTAGCACACACGCGTATACATGTGCGCGGAAAACTGCGTAAGTGCACCAATAAATATCAATATACTTAACTAATATTTACTTTCAAAAATATCCTTTGTGTTAACGCATTTAATTAATTGGTGAATCTTAAACACCTCGAAAGAACATTATACAATGAAAATTCCCGATTAAGAGTCGTGTTCACAACTACATGTTAGGCTACTGATTTATTGATCAACTCTTTTATTAATTTTCGTAGAAACTTATGTCTTCATGAATATATATACATATGGCCGTGTGCGTGTGTGTGTGTGTGCGCGCGCATGTGTGTAAACACGCATGCGCGTAGCTAAATTCGTGTGGGCGGTTTGATGTAAATACGTCAATAATTAAGTCAATTGCCTGCGCATAAATTGTGATCACAAGAAAAATGCCCAGTAAATTATTATTATTATTATTATTATTATTATTATTATTCCATTCCACCTCCTTCTCCTATATAATCTTCTTTTTTCTTTTCGCCCTTTTCCTCCTTCTCCTCCTCCCAATACTACAACTTCTTCTTCACTTTCTTTTTACATTTCCACATTTTCTTTCCCCTTTCCTATCCAACTTTCTACTTCACCTTCGAAACGACCTCCCACTACTTCTCAATTTTGTTCTTCCTCTCTTACACCACCACTTCCTTCTCCTTTTTTTTCTCTTCCTCTTCTTCCTTTGTTCCAGCTCCTCCATCGCCTTCTTTCGTTCAGCCCCTCCTCCTCAGTCTTCTTTTTTTCTTGTCCTCCACCTTCTACTAGTACAATTTCATCTTCTTCTACTATGCTCCCACTTCCTCCTCCTCCTCCTCCTCATCCTCCTCCTTCTTATTCTACCTTCTTCTCCTTCTCCTTCTCCTCCTTCTTATAAATCTTACTACTGCTACTTCTATTACAGTTTTACTCCTACTTTTGTTTCTTCTATTCTGCCTCCTACCTCATTTCTTCTTCTTCTTCTTCTTCTTCTTCTTCTTCTTCTTCTTCCACACCTAACCCCCTACCCCTTTCTCTTCTTCTTCTTTTCTTCTTCCTCTTCTAAAACAAAAGAAACTCAAGTTAATGATGTATTAGGACTGCCAGCAAATAGGTAATTTGTTATGTATTAATTCAAATTTTTTGCATCATTTTTTTTTCGGTTTTACAATTAGGATTTCTAGTACTTAAATTGTTTCTGCTGTTTTTTCGGTAATTTTCTCTCGAATTCAACTTTTTTTTTTTTTTCGCGTTTGCTTCCTGCCATTTTTCCTCTCCAGGACAATTTGAAAAACCGAAAAAAGTGACAAAAAAAAAAAAAGAGAAAACATTCGCCATTAAAGACCCTGTACATTTTTTAAACCTGATAACAATGATGATGAGTTGAGTAGTGAAGGACAAAAAACAATATCAACGCTAATAATTGAAGGTGTAATGTTCAGGTCGATGGGATTATCAAGATTAAGTAGACAGTGTCGAAAATGGAAACGATCATCGCCTTCATCATCTTCATTTGTTTGCATCGTTATCACAATCCCATTCGGCAATATTAATGCCTCTATCGTCAGAGTCGTTGTCGCAAAACGAAGATCAGGGAGTCTGTACACGTCGCTTGAAGGCACGTTTGTGACTGATAAGTACAATGCGGGACTGACATACACAGTCGCGGTAGTTGCAGCTAAAAGTTTGACCGGGGCTCGATGGCATAGCATTGCAAAATTAGAAATGGAGTTCCACAAGAGAAGTGCAATAGAAGGAACTGTTAGCATAGAACTTACGGTTGTATTTGGCGATTTCAATTGTAAAAAGATGAGACCTTTCCGCCAATCTAGTACTGCGCTTAAATTCATAAATTCTAGGTACCATAGCGGAAAGTTCATCAGAACAATTACCATGAAAATATTTATAGAAAAGACACAGAGAAGTCTACATTATGGCGGTGAGAAAGTGACTGAAGCCGAGATGCTTGGTAAAGACCAATAAAATTGCAATTTCTTATCAAGGATCTCTAGATATATAATTAGTTATTTGTACAAGAAACCAACCGTTTCTCCAGAATCTTTCATTATCATCCTCGTGGCTTGGCTTCGCAAAACGAAGATCAAGAAGGAGTCTGTACACGTCGCTTGAAGGCACGTTTGTGACTGATAAGTCCAATGCGGGACAGACATACACGGTCGCAGTAGTTGCAGCTAAACGTCTGGCCTGGGCTCGATGGCATAGCATTGCAGTACTTCACCCTCTGCCTCTTCTACCTGAGAGCGGCCCTGCAAGTATTTTCAAAGAAGAAGACAGTAAGGTTGGTGGTGGGGAGCCAGGCGTCACGGTTCTCAGCTAGGGTTGACCATTTGCAATGGTTAATGTGACAGACAACAAAGGATTTTTTCAGGTAATATTTGAATCGCTTCTTTGGTGCCGCGATAGCCAGTGTCCATCCCAGCGTGGTTAGGGCTTCAGAGGCATGTCCTCGACGCTGGTAACCTTCGCCTGTTCAAGGACTTCAATATTGGTGACGAAGTTACTCCAGTGGATGTTAAGGATTGTGCGGAGGCAGCGCTGGTGGAACCGTTCGAGGAGTCGCAGGTGGAGTCGGTAAATGACCCATGAATCTGAGCCATAAAGGAGAGTGGCGAGGACAATAGCTCTATACACCCTGATCATAGTGACATTCTGATAATAATAATATTACTATTATGACGAAATGCATTTGATGATGATGATGACTGTCGCTGCGAGAATCTTTCTTTTTTTTGTTTTAAATCGATTTCAAGAAAGGCAAGCAGAGTAACAGGTGGCGTGGCGGGTGGGGGGTATCGGGTGTGGAAGAATTAGAAAACAGAAGGTTTACTAAGGAGCAGGAACAAAAAGAATCAGAATCAAAAAGAGAGTTGAAACGTTTACTAAAGCGGACGCTGAATTTAGTCCTCAGTCAGAAGCCAAGAAGACTTTCCGTCCACAAAAATCCCGGATGCGTCGAGAAGAAAAATCTTAGCACCGCCACCCAGCGCTAAACATGAATCACACGTGACAAACAGAATTAATAGCCACACGATTTTTTTTTAAAAGAAACTTCGTATTTCGGTTGCTTAAATGGTTTCTTAAGTTTCTAATAGAAAAGAATGATTTTTCTTTTCTGTTTTCTGTTTTTACAATGATTTTCACACTGTACAAAGCCCGGGGTAGTGGCACAGATTATGCGTATATGTGGGGAAGATAACGATTAACCCTAGACTTGAACTGGTTAAGATTGTAGTGATCGGAGAAGTATGCTTTTGAGCCACTCGAGGTAGAGGGTTACAGAGTAAAAGGCACAATTTATGGGGATATGTGGGGAAGATAACGATTAACCCTAGACTTGAAAAGGTTAAGATTGTAGTGATCGGGGAAGCATTCTCTTGAGCCACTCGAGGTAGAGGGTTACAGAATAAAAGGCACAGTTTATGGGGATATGTGGGGAAGATAACGATTGACCCTAGACTTGAACTGGTTAAGATTGTAGTGATCGGTGAATATCCTCTTGAGCCACTCGTGGTAGAGCGTTACAGTGTAAGAGGCACAATTTATGGGGATATGTGGGGAAGATAACGATTGACCCTAGAGTTGATGAGGTTAAGATTTGAGCGATCGGGGAAGCTTCTTCTTGGGAGTCTGATCCACACGGCAGTGGTTCATCGGAAGAAGCTGTTCAAGTAGAACTTATATTTCACCAATACGAAGGAAACGATGTTTGTTCGCTACAATATACGTAATATGACGTGCCTTAGCCATGGAAGTTAGAACTGGTGGAACTAAGAAATATAGTTTATCTCAGCGGCTAGATTTATCTTTCGTATGCGCAAAAAATGCCATGTCCCAAGGACGGTTATTTCCTTAACACCGCTATTACTGTAAATACTTTTAACTCCACCGTAATGTATTTTGTTTTAAAAAGCGATGATTAGAATTCTAATAAAACTCAAGCATATGAAAATGTATTTATACGTTTTCTTTGTTCTTAAGAGTTGACAACAACGATATTAAACACTATTTATTTATTAGATTGAATTTTTACTAGAACAATCTAATATTTACAAGATTATAAAATATTTCAACAAAATTTAATAAATGTTTTCATGGTTATTTATAAAATAGTAAAAAGTAAATATTACATTGCAGTTCGTTTACATATTTTGATAATTCTGTAATTTTTCATAAATTTTTTAATAAAAAAATTTCCTTTTCAAATTTATTTGTAAAATGGTAAATAATAAATCTTGTTAAAATCTAAATAACAAATATCGCACTGTACTTACTAAGGCATAAATACATCTCTTCCCCCTCCAGTTGGGTTTCTTATATTCATGTAAGAATCGAAACCATCTTGGGAATATTTGGAGCCACTATTCATTACTAGTAGAATTGGTCGAGTTCTTGAATAAAATAAAGGTAAAGTGTTTAGTAAGATTGTTGTTTAATCTTTCAATTCATTTATTTTTTCTTTTCTTTTTTTTCTATATTTTTTCTTTTCTTTTTTTTCTATATTTTTTCTTTTACTTTTTTGGAGTTGCTTACGTCAAGGGCAGGGTTCCTTAAGATCTAATCAAATCTACCCTGGCATCAATGGTAGAGTTGCTTAAGATCTAATCAAATCCACGCTGATCTAATCGAATTTGCTTATAAAATAATTGCTTATTTTAAAAAATCATGATTTTGAGTCGTACTCTCTTAAAAGTAAGTGCGTGTAATCTACGTGATATATATATATATATATATATATATATATATATATATATATATATATATATATATATATATATATTGTTGAGTTGGTCGCCTTTAGTCTTGGTTCTCATCTTTGATCTTGCCGCCAAGACGGTGTAATTTGATCTCCCGACAGTATCATTCTCAGAGTGATTAGAACACGCACTCCCTCCACCATGACAAAGAAACGACCATCCGATACCAACGATGGAAAAAGCGGATGATAATGACAATAGATCTCAACGGTTGAACTAACGGAGAAGAGGGCTACGCACGACGGACATGCTACAGAAGGCGCCACTCGAAATTTTTAACAGATTCAGCAGCAGACCCGTGGCAGTTTCATAACTGGATTCTGCATGCCTCATTCCATATGTGCAGCAGCAGGGGAAGGTCAGGAAATCAAGTGTCCTGGAAAGTTGAGGTTCACCTTAATCAAATTCACGCCATCGACAATTTCTACTACTCTAATTTTCTTTCACCTTCAACCAACTCTTGCAAAGCCAAACGGCGATAGGGGATGAATGAAGGAAGAAGATTTTTGGTGAAACTCGAAGCTTCTAATCCTAGACCTGCTCACTGGCGGTGAATGCAGTCATCCAAGCCATCATCATAAAGAAAGCGATAAGCAAAGAAATTAAATTCTTGGATACGAGATAAAGCCAGTTTTAGTATTATTATTATTATTATTATTATTATTATTATTATTATTATTATTTCAATGGATGTGTCCATGCAGAATGGAAAGGTATTGTGCAGCCAGGACAGTCTTGTGATTCGTGGCGGTGGGGAGGACGTATGGAAATGGACGCGTGTCAGATTATGATATATACTGTGACGTCTGCTGAATATTATATTCGAGAAAAGATTTCTTCATCGACAACCAAGAATATTTATTGCAGATTGGGGGGGGGGGCACAAATTCTAAATAACTACTCACTTTTCTTTCTTTATCATCTCCTATTCTACGTTATCTTTCTCTCTTTCTCTCTCTCTCTCTATCTATCTATCTTTCATTCTCTCTCTTTCTTTCGATACTTCACCCCCCCTATTCTTTCTCTCTCTCTCTCTCTCTCTCATTATCACCTTTTCTCCACTTTAGTCCTATCTATTTATCTATCTCACTCTCTCACTCTGTTTCTCTCATTCTCAATTATTGCAGCTTTTTTTTTTGTTTTTGGTGGATCACAAATTCTAAATAATTACTCACTATTCTACGTTCTCCCCCCTCTCTCTCTCTCTCTCTCTCTCTCTCTCTCTCTCTCTATCTATCTATCTATCTTTCATTCTCTATCCCTCTTTCTCAACTTCACCCCCTCTTCTCTCAGTCATTATCTCCAATTCTATACTTTAGTTCTCTATCTATCTATCTATCTAT